CCGAGAACATGACTTGAACCGCGCACCGGCAGAGGAGCGTCCTCTCTTGCCCTACTCACCGCGCCGGAGGGAGGGTCCCTCCTTCAGGTGAGTCTCTAAAGCGTCCTGCTCATCGTCTCAGAGGCTGCCACCCGCGACTCCCAATCCGGAGAGGACACGTCCCGCCCTCCCCCAGCCCAACGCGGTCCCCTTGACCTCGGGGGCTTCACTGGCGGCTGCACCGTTGGTTTTTTCAGTCAAATCCTCCCGTAGGCCACCAACCGGCGGTGATTGAGCCAATGCCAACACTTCTTCCTCCGCCTCGCCAGCAAGTCTCAGCCAATCGGAGATAGCCGTGCTGCGGCGTGCCGAGCTCCTTAACGACGGCTGACGCCTGCCCCAGCGTTGCCGGGCAACCAGAGAACGCGCAGCTTCCAGCCCCAAAGCTGCAAGCTGGGGAGCTGGGAGCTGGTGGTTATGTCTGCGCTGCAGTCATCTCACGGGGACCTAGATCCTTGCCTGTGGACAGGTTTCCTACGCACCAGCACCATGGGCTTTCCTGGGCTTGGTGTCCCCAACTTAAAGCATTTGAAATGGAAAGTGTGGGAAACTGCAGCGTCTTTGGTTTCAAGAATGTCTACTACTGAAAATCAGGGTGTTTAGTTTCAAGAATTTCTACGACTAAAAATGAATTCTCTTCCAAAGCAACGAACTAGTTTGAGAAGAACTAGTGCAATAGGCCAAATTTGGCATTAAATAGTTTTGTTACTCAAGGACACTGCACGCCTTGGGCAATGAGAATGCAGTGCTGTGAAAGAATGAATGGGATTTAGGGTATCTTATCACTAATTTCTTATCACTAATTTCTCTTGTAGCCGTGGGCAATTCTCTTCACGTTTTGTGAGTGCTTGAAGCTTCTTTACACAGATGCACCCCAGCACACACACACAATTGCATTAGGTGATGTCTTTAAAAAGATCCTTAACTTCACATTAGAAAACTTCCAAAAATGAATTAATACTGAGTGCTCAATTGGTGTCAAGCACTCTGCCAAACTCTGTCCTGATTATTTCACTTACTCTTCATAGCATCATCTGTTAAAGTCATTATTTCCCATTCCAGTTTAGAGAACTCTAAGAGGCACAGGGAATTTCCAAGGCTGCCTACTATAGTAAAGCACCTTTCCTCCATCTTACTTCCAAACATTATCAAACTGATGTTTTTTTTTTTCAGTACAGAAAACACAGGTTATATATACACTGAAAATATAGCCAAGGCCTGTAATTTGTTAGTCAAAAACAAGCAATAAGCCATTAAAAACAAACAAGGCGTGGAGTGGGACGCTCAGTACTAACATGCTGAGCACACATCCTGTCATGGAAATGTGTGTGTGCTCACCACACTGCGACATTCTATTCTAAAGAAGTGGGTCTTTAAAATAAGGACAGTAACAGACCTGTTTTCTTAAAAGGGCTTTACTTTGTGTTATTTCATAAAAATATTGAAATACTCATTGTGAAACACCCATTATTTTGTTTCATCATTTCCCCCAGGTTCCAACCTCTTTTCTGCCTCACTGAAGCATATGGTATCTATCAGGAAGCAGGAAGAAGAAACCCTATTTCCTCAACCCATCCCTCCCTCCTCAAGCTGAGAGACAATGCAGCTCTTCTAATAAAGCAGAAAGACAGTGTCCAACATCTAATTAAGTAGACTTTTATTGCTTGTTCAACTTCAATAACATCTCCAAAAAATAGTTTTCTTCTAACAATTATGAAACAAATTTGAAAGGCAGGATCATTCACATTATAGACTTGGACCAAGACCAGTACTTCATATAAATGAAAAATATCAGTTCTACATTTTAAAAGCTTAATTTACTTTGGATTTTATTACAAAAGAACATATTGTCATTATAATTATAAAAGTCATAAAAATTAGAATGTGCTCTGAAATTATAACAAGCTATCAAATATTATATAAATGAACAATGAAAATCAATTTCTATTTATTGAAATGTAGTAAACACTGGAAGATAACCCTCCCCTACAAAAGAAAAAAATTAACATAAAGCAATAAACGAAAAGCCACAACACACACACACAAAAACAATTAATGCACACAAAAAAAAATCTGACTGAAAAAACTGCGAAAGTCAATATGTGGTAATTAAATTAAAATTTTTTAAATGATCTTTAGATGCTTCTATTTCCAAGCTATGTTCTCCTATCATTGCTTATATTACTTTTTGAAAAGCTAGAAGAGACCCAATTTATATTAAAATTGCCAGATTTTGAACACTATTATTATAAACTTTGAATGTCCTTGAAGTCTTAAAATTTTTGTTTTAAAAAATAATTGGTCTAAACCAAAAAACATTTCACATATTTGTACTGAATATAATTAACAATGATATGATCTACATAAATATATTTAAAACATTAAGTTATTTAATTTAAACATTTTTTAATTACAGTGCTATATTAATGGCTTACACATCTGAAATCTGAGCACATTAAAATTGAATTCACATGGTAAGACTGTTGAGTACATTTACAAAACTGACATACATGATGTTAACTTTTAAAACAGCAGTTCTGGTGTCAGACCTCAGTTTCAGAAACTTTGTTTTTTACAGAATTTTGAACCTGTCTCAATGAAAGGAAAAAATTAGAAAGTCATTATATACATCCATAAATTTTTAAGTATGTAGACAAACAGAAATTTTTTTTATGTCAAAAACCAAGGTTAATAACTTTGAGTGGTAAAGAAATCTGCTTTATAAATACATATATTAACACATAAAAAATTCTACTGAAAACTTGGCAAATATGAACATTGTGTGCCACAGTTTTTAAACTTAGGAGATTTAAGATTGATAATAACATCATTCACACAAACTCACACACATGCAGTAAAAGACTGTGTTTCATTTCAGCATGTCTAATATGATTATAGAATATACAGAATCATACTTTTATCATAAGGAAGTTTAGTTCATTGTTTTCTCAAAAGCTGCTATTTTAGAGTGAAACAGCAATCAAAAGAAAGTAAATTTCAGATGGTCAACATCAGGATCCATTATAGTCTTTGTAAACAGCATCTATAAATAAATAAAATAGGTGGAGAGAAGATATCCTGAGGCGGCTCTGTGGCCAGGGTATTCAGTAGCACTAAGCTCCATTCTGGAAACCAAGGCATCTAAGAAAGTGCAGGGCTGATTATATGAATTTATTTTGCAAATGGAGTATGTACAGTTTCAACTATTTTGCACCTTGAGGTAAATATCAGTACACAGCAATTACTACTGCTCATTTACACCTATGTTAAGGCAACATTTAAAAGTCAATATATGTAGTAAGTTGTATTTTTCACTGTCTTACAATTGAATGTTATCCATGATTGCTATTTTTCAGAGTGGCAAAATATCATTACCACATAAAATAAGCAGTGAATTACTCAAACAGGAGTTATTTTTGCTTTTCAATGGAGTAGTCATATCAGATAATTTTGTAAGTCAAGTAGTCAAAAGAAAACAGAAACCATTTAACAATCAGAAACAGTAAAAACATTTTTTGAGTGCAAACTAATTTTGTAAGTTATGGTTTTTCTGGCACCAGACAATTATTATACACAGTTAAATAATATCACAGAAACACTATGATCCCAGGTAGTTTTCAGTTTAAATTTTAAAATCCCTTGCTGTAAATAAGTACATTTGTTAGCCCTATGATGTCCAAACACGAGGAAATTATGTGAGGAAACCTCCTGTTCAGGCCACCAGGGGAGCTTTAAAAATAGCAGCAAATACTGGGGTCTTTGGAAATGCTGCTGCTGCTGCTGTGAGTGAAAAAGAATCACGTCAATGGAAGCTCACACACAGTACAAGCACCGCAGGTAGCGGCTAATATTCTATCTCAGTTGCTGAGAGAGTCAAAAATTCTTTCAGGCAGTACCAAATTATGCCAGCTATATTTTGTAAAGAAAAGTAGCTACATTTCCAACCTCTCATTGAAGGCAGAGGCTGGATCCATTATTGTAACCAGAATGTGACAATATGGTCTCAGAAGGGGGAATTACATTAGTTATTTAAGTAGTTAGTATGCATCAAAACACTTTAAAATTACTAAAATACCAGCTTTTGGCATTCCTCATGATCCTCTAGAAGATCAATTCTTAATATTTATGTACTTCAATTACAAGTGATTAAAGAGAGCACTGAAATCTCATAAAAATTTTCATCCTAATATTCACATCACCATTTTTGATATTTCTGTGGCTTCTCAATACTTATTTGGTTGTTATAAACTATCCTCATGCCAGATCAGTTTCACAACTCCATTCATCCAGTCCTACAGGCTTAACAAGAACAACATTTATTTATTTCATGTAGAGCTAAGAGTATATAAAAGATGACTAAAAAAAACTTGCTACAAGTTAAAAAGCTCAAAACTCAAAACACTAAACAACAAATGCTAACACAAAATAGGAAGAATGCCATCAATCTGAGCTATACATAAAATGCCTAAATTTCTTTTTTAAAGTACAAATATGGCAGTGCTTTATATCAAAGATGTAAAATCTGTCAACTGCATTCAGATAAAAAAACATAAATGCAAGTGAGCACCAATTATTTACATTAACAATTTACTTTGTATTTGTTACCTTTTCAAATGTTTATATAATAATTAAGCATATCAATTAAAATAAATAAAATATTTTAAATTGAAATCACCAATAACAATCTATTAAATACTACCTATACAATCAATAGAAAGAAAACAACGTAAACAGAAAATGAAAGGTAATTCTTATTAGGGTAAAGTAATACTGATCATCAACCCTTTTAAGAGAATTCTGACTCCTGATTATTTAATCATACTACTTAGAAAAACACTCAAGAACTTGAACCTGATATATACTAAACCACATTTTAAGTGAAAGACAGCTAAGGCAAAGAACAGAGTGGGCATTCTGGGTTCTAATAAAGTACTAGGATCAGAAAAAATTCTACAAAGGCAACAAAATTTATTATAAATTGGCATTTTATAGCTTCTAAAATTCAAAACATTATAGCTAGTATGGGGGCTAATTATAAAATCACCTGCAATTTTACTTGCCTATATGAATGGAACCCTAAATGCAGAGGGTCTACGATTTATTTTTCAATTAAAAAACAAAGGTCAACACTATTGTTCTTCTCCAGAAAGTTTCCATTGTTCGACTTCTATAGATGAAAAAAACCCCACACCTGTGACGGACAGCCACATAAGTGAAGCGCACAGAGAAGCTTGGGCATGTCACCATTTCTCCCGAGCAATGGCAGAGACTTCCTTTTCTGCCCAAAAGCACTAATAGAAATGAAGTAATAAGTGAAAAAATTTAGTAAGTCAAGTACAAATTATTAATACATATCACTTAAGGTTGGTAAGAATTGCCAATGAGAAACAATTTTTAAGAAAAATAGACTGAATGCCTTTCGCTACATCATTGTAGGAAATGATGTAGGGAAAAAATTTTCAACAGAATAAATATTTGGATAGTAAGAGCCATGTACCTCACTTCTAAGAGACCACTTCATTATATACACAGTCTCCAAGGTGCTCTTAACAAACTTGAGACACTACTTCAAAAATCCCAGTAGTCATGCATAAACAGCATGACATTCAGTATCATTGTATATAGTGACATGAAACACACACACATCATATATATATATAAGGTGAATACATGTATGTATATATATATCTGTGTATCTGTATATATATAAAATTCTTCTTGGTTCAATTCTATAACGAAGTTTCAGCATCCATGTATTTCTTTGTTGGTTCATCTTCAACATCTATTTTCACACTCACAGGTGCTTCAGGGCTATTTAAAACAAAGAATGAGATATTATAGTCTAATAAACATGGCCAACAATAGGTTTCCACAATAAACCTTTTGAAATGACTACAAATATTATACATACATGGCTTGCAATATTTTCTTTTCACAACACTAAGCTTTTTCTTAGTCCTTTTTTTTTTTTAATGTTTGCTATTTACAACAAAGAGGGGTTCCTTAAAATTGGTTTGCATGGGACTATGTTTATTAGTTTTAGTTTATCTATGAACAGTTGTAACATTTGATTTATTTTATTGACAAATCTATTACAAATTAATCTTTGTTAATATAAAAATAAGCATCAAAATTTTAAAAACTTATCTTTTTCTTTCTAAATTTGTTTCCAAATACATGATCAAACACATATTTTCTATTTTCAGGTTAATTCAAATGTAATGATTATACACACACACACACACACATACATACATATGGATTTAACTGATTCAGTGGTAACCCATAAATATCTGGAATAAATTTTTTTTCAAAAGTATAAAAAACACATGGTTTGCTGACTTCTCTAGGCAAAACTAAAGAAAGTACCCCTCCCACTACCATTTTTGTCTTAACATAAGCCAAACATTCTCTTTCTTTCCATAATTTTGAATGAGGGAAACCCAAGTGAAACGTAAAAGTATAAAGAGACTACTTTTATCATAATTACAAAGGAAGTTCTGGTCCTGGAATGCTGACAAGGCATGAGAAATTATTCAGCACAAAAGGAGCATTTAGTGGAATTCTGGCTGCATGGAATAATCTAAAATGACTAAGACCTTAAATATTTTATGATCAAAGATAAAAGAATGGAAGCAGTTGAGCTTTAATATGAGAACTCAAGAAATGATGGTAGAGAAGGAAAAAAAAAAGACATAGAGCAAGTAGGAAGAGTAAGTTCCTAAGAGGAGGCAGGGGAAGGGTGAGGAAAACCTAATCAACTATTATCAAAAAAGAAAGTGGCCCAATAGCTGTGTGACTGATTGCTTGAAAGAGTTTTGATTTGATGTCCAAGGAGAGTACATAGATACTCAATATACTCTGGGCCCCAAAATATTTATTGAATATGAGTAAACAAATACCTTATAGGACCATGCCTGATTTTCCTGAGACCTAGAGATTAAAGTATTAGTGATTATCAAACTAGAATCCCCCAGGACTCAAGCCTTGAAGTGAGGGCAAAAGAGAGAAAAAAAGGGTCACATAACAAGAAATGTGGTCATGAAATAGTTTCGGTATATGGCCCATTATAACATGAAATGGTCCTTTATTATCATCTCAAAAACGTTTATTTCACAAAAAAAAGAGGCTAAAATATAAAGTAAAATAAAGGCAGACAAGCATGTTTTACTTTTTGCTTAAGACCACCAGAGAGCATGACTGAGATAGGATTCAATTAGAGTACTTACAGGAGTTCCTATTATCTTGCCTTGAATCATTTTTGATGTTTTACACATGTATTTCACACTACACCATAGGGACAGATTCATTTATTAAAGAATACCTCAAATTCTCTTTTTGAAATAGGCATTATAATATCAAAGTAACAAAAACATTATCAGTACCTATAACATTCAATTCCAAGACATAGTAAAACAGTGGATAGGGAGGTAGATGAAAGGAAGAAAGGAGGAAGGAAAGATGATTTGTTAAGGAAGGAGAACATAAATTATACAAATGGAGTTAAACTGAATAGTTTTATTGAACATCTACCCATAAGAAAATGGAAAGTTGATCATTGTTAGAAAATGTGTAAATAGGTACAGCTACCTCGTGTTAGGTCTGGTTACTTTGGCATTCTCAGTGTTCATGGAAAGTGCCTTCCACTGTGCAGTTTTGGCCATTTCATCTGATATGTTAACAACTGAGGGGTCAACACTGAAGAATAAATACACTTTCTGGTTAGTATTCAGTACTTGCAAAGGCATTCACATTGTCATTCTTATTCTCTATATTTTCTTTCATTAACTTAAAATTGAGGAAATTCTTGTCATGCTTAAAACTAAGGTCTAGCAAGATATCAGAACTGTGGAGTTCTGCTACAAAGGTTTCATGGGGAATTGTCATCTTTCTTCAGAATTAAAACTGAAAGATAATTGGTACAAATTTCAATTTCATCAAATATCCAAATAAAGAAAAATTAAGATAAAAAATTTTTCTTTTATAGCTTTTAAAAATACTAGAAGATGTTAGGAATGGTAACACCTGAACACTGAAAGCAGGACTGCAAAAGGATTAATAGAAAACACAAAACAGCTTTAAGTTGACATTCACATTTTTTTGTGCCAAACTGTTACTTTACCAAGTTTATCAAAATCAAAAGAACAAAAGCACTATCCTTTTGTAAGGGGCAAATGTAAGCATTGTCTCTTAATCTATGAAATATTGCAAAAATTATTTCAAGACGCCAAATCCAAGTAATATGAAGTGATACGAAGTTAATAGAAATGCATTTGTACGCCCATTTTCTTCACCAAAAGAAAAACATTTCATGCAAACAAATGACAAGTACAAATGTCAAATTAGATTTTAAATTAATGTGACAGCAGGTAGGTTGTAAATTACTTTACAGCCATCATTTTGAAATGCTAGCTTTCTCTGTTCACACTTTAAATTGGAAATGTCATTTAAAATTTAAGACTAGAGAAATGTGATGTTGTCATTAAAGAGCCTCTGAGAATGCCTGCCTCACCAAATCAATTTTTCCAAAGTGCACAAAATGTGAATACCAAATTCACTAAACATCTACCTTGAGACTCTGCCTGCTCTGTGAAGATGTTTCTTTGCTTGGTTGCCAAGTTGAAGGAGAAAATTCTTGTCATCACTAAATATGCACATACTCATACTTTTTTGTTAAATATCAGACAGTGAACATATATACTTCACTTAAATTTATCAAGGCCCATGTATAATCACACTGAGAAAGGGCTCACGCAGGACCTAGGACTCTTAGGAACTAAGATATAAATAGTGTCAGCAAATTGGGGACTAACTTATAATCATCATGAAAGTTTCTACAACCAACAAAAGTTAATATATTAATTCAATTCACATTACAGAATTTAGCAAAGCAGAGCACTATATATCGTTGGATATATTAAGATGGTTATGCTTGGCATCTAATTTAAAACACACAAAGATTTAAGGAAAAAATTATGAAAATTATGACAGTGATACCAATGATGACAATTAAAATTAATGTGGACAGAGGGAAATTATTTGGTAAATTCATTTATCAAACTAATCAGCATGTGTAAGTCCAAATATAATCCCTAAAAAGTATTTAAAAATAGTTAAAATGAGAAAAGGCTGAAGCTGAAGATAAATGAAAACAAACCTTTTTTTAACTGGTCAGGGAAGGAGCCTACATTCATTCTAAAACTGATTTTTCTACTACATACGCTAATAAGGTAAGGATTACACGTATAGAAACAGGAATCAGACATGTATAAAATATTTTGAATCTTGTAAGACAATATCTACATCCTAACGTCTATATATTTACTTACGAAAATGTAAATAAAAATCAACAAAATCACATAGGATGAACTATTTTAATAATTTTCCCATAATATAAGCTCCCACTACCTATGCTCAAATAACCTTAGGAAATTCTTTAAGAGACTTCTAAGGCCTTTGAACATAGTTCTGTATTGGGAGGTTACCAGAAAATGGATTACAAACACTATTTTCTAGCATACACTGACCAGAGCCCTATGAAAGACAGAAAGGAACAAATATATTGTTAAGTGGTTAAGAGCTGAACTTCATGTACCTGACATTACACTACATGGAGTGATGAAAAAACAAACAAATTTTGTGTGCTTAGCGTAGTTGTGAATTGGCTCTGATCCAAGTCCGGCTTTTCCCTCACTCCCGCTTATCAACCTGCGAGCGGAAGGAGCACCAGACTTCCTATTCATACTGCACGGAGCTCTCTTTTAGTTGATACGCTAGATTCAGTTCTGTTATTTTTAAAAAATAGTTATTGCTACTTTAAAGAAGTACTAAATAGCTTAGTCATACACTTGACATACACATAAAAATCAATGTTACAAAGCAAAACTATATCTTACCTGTATTTCAGGGCCTTAACTGGAATTTGCAGGAGACTTCCTCTTTCAAATGGAAGGTGCACAGTGTCACCATCACCTTGAAGCATTCGTTCAGCTTCCTTTAGAGCACATATATGAAGAGATTACTTTTCCCAGAATACTTCCAGGAGGGAAGTATAATATTTAAATGTTATATTTAAACCAATTAAATATTATTTTTTTAAAAATTACAAACCCAAATTGACAATATTGTTTAACTATAACATACATGCAATGGCTGCAAAATTCTTGACCAGTATGAACATATATTTATAGCATAAAGCGAAGCCAGTAGTTTCATTTTTAGATGGCTATAAGCTTCATTCTTGTAAGTCAATCATTCATACTATCTAAATCAATTTAGCTACATAAAGTTAATTATCAAATGTTATGTAGGTAGATAATGTTAGTATTTTGAGAATTCTCATGGCTTCCAACACGATATGAGCAAGACCTCACTTGAACAAGGCAGGGCTTTTCAATCTCAGCAACGTTAACACTTAGAGGCAAATAATTCTCTGTTGTAGGACCACTCCTGTTCATGGAGTATGTTTAGCAACATCTGATCAGTGGACGCCAGAACCAGCCCTCCAATTTTGAGAACCAAAATTGTCTCAGATTTTGAAAAATGTCCTCTTAGGAGAAAAGTTGCTCCAAGTTAAAACCAACTTCCCAGGGAGAAACGGACCATAATATTTGAGGAGTGTAAGAGACTTCCTTAAAACAAAGTTTTGCTTTCTCTGCTCCTTCCTGATGTGTTTAATGAGAAAGTGATAGTTTGAATTTGGTAGCAATTTTGACCCATGAGATGATCCCGTGATTTTGGGAATGGAAACTGCATGCCGAGCAGTGAAGCATTTGTGGAGTGCTCACACTAGCTCAACCCCAAGAGGTATGTGAAAAAATACACTGCAACTGAATTTCACTATGATACTGGAAGTATCAGCCAGTTCTAAAAGGGTACTTTATAAATAAGAACATGTTTGAAAAATGAAAAGCTGAGAGCCATCTACACAGATAGTATTAGAAAAAATTCTTAACATTAAAATTTTGGAGTCTCAATTCAAACTATTATTCTAATTAGTATCCTAATTAAAAATCCTAACTTGTTCAAAGTAAACATAAAAGCAGTCATTTTGAAAACTGTTTAAACAGGACTATTAACATTTTAAAATGTACCTCTTTTATTTGCTTTTCAAACAGTATATGCTACATAGTGACTATTTTTATTTAAGTGATAGCTTTGAGTTAGTTGTTTAAAAAATAGGCCAAATTCAGAATATTCATGTAAATCTGAGAACATAAATCAATTAATGGTACATAATAATGGACATAAAGACTTAAGTTTATGCTCTCTGGCTTAATAAGGTCCTATTTTTTTTGTTGTGTATGCCAGATTATTAAAGCACTAAAATATACTTGTGTATTTAATGTTAAATTATATAGAAAACTATGACATAGTTATTTGATGTTACCCATGTCCTGATACTGCTTAACTCTTCTAATTAATTATATGCATGCTATGTAATTTAAAAAATATTGATATGGGGGCTTTGGAGGAACAAGTTGTAAAATGCTAAGAGCTTTTCTTTGGGACAAGTTAGTTTAACTGGCCTCTTTCTGCCCCAATACTCATTTGCAAACTGAAAACAATAAAAACAACTACACTTTGTAAAAACAAGGTCCTTAGGAGAATTAATGGCGCTGATGAGCTTACAGTAGCTGTAACAGTGCCTGCTTCTTGGCACACGTAAACGTCTGAATGGTATCAATTTAAAATTTTTGATGAGTGGATTAGGAAGATGTGGTATTTCTACATAACGGAACATGAACTCAGTTATAAAAACATGAACTCTGTTGTTTGTAACAACATGAGTGGATGGAGGGGATATTACTAAGCAAAATATGTCAAAAGGAGAAAAATAAATACCAACAGTTTCACTTGTATGTGGCATATAAAGAACAAAAGGTCAGACAAAAACAAAACCTAGAAAACTGGGTGCAGAATTGAGGTGATCAGGAGAGGGTAGAATGGACAAGGTCAAGGATACAGGGTGCCTTAAGGGTAATGTGCATTGAAGGGTAAAGCCTTGACCTATAAATACTACATAAATAGGGTTGTAAACCAAAGTTACCTCCAAAGAATTTTTTTTTTTTTAAGAAATAAAATTTTGTCTTTTTACCTCTTCCTCTTTTTTCTTTTTGTCATCTTCTTTCTTTTTCTTACTTTCTGGCATGAGATCATCAAGCCAACTCAATTCTCTCTTTGTGAAGCATAGGTCCATGAGTTTGCGAATAAAGACTAATGCAAGAACCTTAAAAAAGTGGGAGAGATAATTAAGGAACATCCAAAACAAAACAAAAACTGTAAGTCACTAGAAAAGAAAGTACTAACAAAAAAGTTATATGTTTTATTTAACACACCCACATACCATGTTACTTAAAGGGAACTGAGTAAACTGTATTTTTTAACTTTCTACTCAAAGATCTAAAAGAAAGGTTTTTTTTTAAAGATTTATTTATTTATGTATACAGAACTGGGGTACAGGCCGGAGGCACAGGGGCGGTGAGAAGATTTACCAAAGACACAGTGGGGAGGGAGCAGAACAGGCAGACAGAAGAAGTACACAGCTGAGGGGAGTAGCGTGTGGATCAGGAGAGGTCTGCCACGCCATGTGGGTCAGCTCTCTGGCAGGGATCGAACTTGTGCTGCAGTGGCTAAAAAAGGTCTTTTAAATCTTCTTTATAAATTCCTTGGACAGTAGCTCTTAACCTGCCTGGTATGTTACACATATTTTCTCCCAGTTCAAAATTTGATTTTACAGTGTTTTTTTTTTTTGCATATATAAAGTATTTAATTATGATAGTTACTTGTATCTATCTTTAGTGTTGGATTACCCAATCTTCTTTGAAAAGTTAAGTTTTCAATCTAGACTTAACATGTGTATTTCTTTCATAAAATGGTATTAACGGGGAAGGCAACCTTAACTAGCTATCAGTATACAGTCAACTCTTCTAACACTATTACTAAATGATCTTATATATGAATTCCCACCTTTAATGAAATAATCTGCTTAAAATGTTCAAGTGGTATGTTCTAATAAACTTTGGGAATTTTTTTGCCCACGTTTTTGATCTATTTGTCTCTTCCTGTGACAATTCTGTATTGTGCTAGCTACCATAACTTGACAACAATTTAAAAATAATTAGCTATTAAAGCAGTATGAGACATCATGAGAAGAATTAAGTCTCTCACTCCAGAAGCCTAGAAGTCTAACTTCCAGACCTGTTAATTTCTGGAAGAGAGGTACTGAAATAATAGAATTAAAGAAACACATTGTTCTGATGGCTTAGCTTTCTATAATGAGCTATATTTGTTTCATATATATCCTAAA